ACTGGGTTTTCCATTTTTTGTTCCTATGAAATCACCTAGGAAATTACCACCTATATGGACTGATAGATAACTTATTTCTTTCATTAGACAGCAAACGATATCAATAAACAAGTAAACACTGGTGAAACATTCTAACAAACTTCCTTCTTAGTCATTTTGAAACACCTTTAATTTTTGTTTTTATGTTTTAGGAATTCCTCCTTTTTTTTCCTTTCTTTTTCTCCTTTTTTTGGGATAACGGGAAAAACACAGATCTTGTGAGAGACTGAGACTTAGACCCATTCTGTGTGTAGGGTGGTGTCTAACATAACTAATGTGAATCCCCATATGCAGTACTTCATTATTACCACTGTTGAGCTGGGAACTCAGGAACCTAAGTTAAGAATTAATCTTCTTGCACATCTGGACTAAAAATTAAGAAATGCTTATGTCTAATTTTCCATGTATCTTGTCTTTACTGTACATCTGAAGGGCATACAATCTGACTCTAGAGGGTGTGTAGAAGTGATCCTGGGTCATCTGAATATCAGATTAATTTCTAGCCAGTGGACAGTTCTTCAAAGATTAGAATACATAAACTTGTCTGCTTCACTTAGTTCTGTGCTTAAGTTGAACAATCAGGGATAGGCTTTCCAGCTTGATTATAATTCATTCTGTGAATGTGATTTTTTAATACATGAAAATGGGAAGACTGCCAAGATCACAAAGTTCAGGAAGAACTTTAGAAGTCAGATAAAAGAGTATCTTTATGCATACTCTGAATTCTCTCAAGTGGCGGCTGTAATGTAATGAGATGATATGCAAATCTTAAAACCTATTAGGAAGAAAATGATCCTGCTGTGATCAATTTACAATCCAGAGAGGCACTTCCCGTACCTGATCCTTTATCATTTACAGTGTAAACGCAGATGATGCTTGAGTGTGAAATCAGTGCTAGAAATCTATATTCTGTTTATTTTTTCAGTATACAGAGAATTTCATGGTGTGATAATTGTGTTATATGAATGTGTATGGTGAACATGCTGTCAATTCTCAACGTGCCATTGTGAATGCTTCTGAGTTAGATATACTAATTAGCTATGTCAATTAAATGTAATGATGGCAATTTAATTTATTACTTCCAGTGTAACATCAAATAAATAAAATATTGTAAAGCTTTTGAAGAATATGATATGTAAATACTGTGATAGTTCAGTTTTCTAAAGAAAGCCTTGTAAGTTCCAAATGGTGCTTATATTTTTACTGAGATAATTAAACACATATGAAGATTAAAATGTTTGGGGTTGTGTGCCAGTAGTGAAGAAAATGTACACAGCAGCATACCACCAGCCAGTGATAGGGAATGTAAACAGAAAACTTTGTCATCCAGAATGTCTTTTCAGTATTTTTTACTTCAATTTCAGGAAAAGACTATGTGTTCGTAGTTTCTTGTATATGAAAGCATAATCTCTGATTGGGATTCCTAGGACCAAATAATAAGTGAACCAGCACATGAAAAATATTAATGTTTGAATGGACTGTATTTACAAAGGGCATCTGCACACTTTCAAAACTTACTTTTCTCTAGAAGCTTCTGAGAGCAAAATGCATTAATGCTTGCTCTTCAAGGGAAAGTCAGAAAAGTGGTTGAAAATTGTATGCAAAGATCTCTATTCTAAAAATGTATTAGAATTCTAAAAGCCATTATGAAAAATAAAATCTCTGTAGTGCTTGGATAGATGAATAATAGATAAATAATTTAAACTGAATTATAATCACAGAGAAAATGCAAAGATAAATCATGTGTGTTATGGTTGCATATTCAGGTAATTTTGTTTTTCTAGCTTCAAGCACCATTTTAGTCACTGCTGTTTGTATATTGCCAGATATGATTACAAGAATAAACCAAACTCATTCTGTATATATATGTGATCATGTGCAGGCACATAGCATTTTACAGTTTGAATTTGATGTGACCATAAAATAATTGGGAGAATTGTCATGATACATTTGGGTTTTTAGGGTAAATGTACCTCTTTTTTCTTCATGTTTATTTTTTAAAATATATTCATTATTGATATTTTGTGTTGCTAAGTGGATATAAAAGTAGATGGTAAAAAATAAATTTTTTTTTGTTTGGATGGCCTAGAAAAAAGTTAAAGAAATTGATAGAATGATTTAGAGTCTTAGTAGTCTTTATTTAATTATGAAGACTAACAAAATGGTACTATAGAGCAAAAGACATTATTACCCATTTTTTTTATAGCACTCTGACTTGATTTTTGTGGCTTGATATAAATAGGAAACTAATTGTCCAAATAATTTGTAAATTTTAGATTTATAAATTGAAAAAATAATGTAAGCATGATATACATACACACAAATATATGTTAAATATAATATAAAATATGAAAAAATACATTTTGTTTTTAAATGTGCTATGCATATTAGTAATTTTAATTATTTGCTTGTGTTGACTCTCTGCTGCGGTTCTCGTGCAGTTGTAATTCAGGGTTTTCAATCAGCTCCTTAACTCCAGGGCCAACTGCCAGATAAGTGAAGTTAAGTGGCTTCTTTTTACAAAGGATTTGAAAATGGCAAGTGTCAGTAAACTGTAACTGTTCTCTAGGCATTGTTTAAATTTTGAAAGAAACTGAACCAACAGCTTACAGTTAATAGCTGAAAAATTCATACTTCACAGTTATCAAGCAGAGATCTTGTTAATTGTTTAAATACTTGAAATGCTTTCCTACCTTCAGATGGAACTGAGCACATATTCAGACTAGTACTATCAGGATCTTAGATTTAAAAAAAAAATGATTACTGAATTTGGCAAAATCAAGTAATGTTTCCCAGATTGGAGCTCAGTTATACTTTCTAATAGTTGTACTTGTTATCAGGCGATTGTGAACAAAATACAGGATAAATATATCAGCAAGTGGTTACTGTTCTTACAGATTCAAGTTTAATTAGAGATGGGGGGGGGGGGAAAAAAGTGTATGAGCATGAAGTAAATTAAACTTTTGTACTGGGTGCAGGTGCCCAGGCACTGGCAGTGGGAGAGGCTGCAGGGCGGCCTGTGTGAGGGGAGGCCGGGGCCGCGCCGTGCTGAACATGTCCGGTTCCAGCTGGCTCCAGTGGGCCCACCGCAGGGCACGGCCGGGCCCAGCAGCCAAGATGGTGGTGCCTCTGGGAAAGCGTATTTAAGAAAGGGTAAAAACACTGCATAGCAGTTGAGAGAGAGAAGAGGGAAGAAAAAAGTGTGAGAAACAGCCCTACAGACACCAAGGTCAGTGCAGAAGGAGGTGGTGCTCCAGGGGACGGAGCCAAAGCCAAAAAACAAAAACAAAAAAACAAACAAACAAACAAAAAAAACCCACAACAACAACAACAAAACAAAAAAAAAAAAAAAAAAAAACAAACACATCCACTTCCCTGCTCCTCCCCCCTCCATGCCCCCCACTCTCCCCCCCCGCCCCCCCAAAAAAGGACAAAAACCAAAACCAGACCTCAAACACCTCAAAGCTGTGTTGTTGAGGTTGACTGTAGCCCTTAGGTCATCACATAATCCAGCTATAGAAAGTTGTGTAAGAAATTATAATGGTGCTTTTGTTCCCTGAAGATGGAAGACTTGTGAAAATGAAACCTCGCATTTGTCCCAGCCATCTCAGAATTTGCATTTACATATAAGATTTTCTTTTATATAGGCTTTCCTTTGCAAAAGTACTCTTTATATAAGTGCAGAAGTGTCAATCAGCAGGTTTTTTCTGTCATTTAGTTGGTTGCATCCACAGTTTAAGCATCCGGATTTTTTGCCATGGGACGTGTCCATTACCAGGCAGTGTAGTGGTTTACTTTATCTGCTCGATGTCTGTGGAGTTGTGGGGGCTGGTGGTTTCTTTTGGGATTTGGTTTATTACATTGGTGTGCTTGTCATTTGCCAGGTCTGTGTTATGATATAGTGTATTTTATCTTCCTTGAAAATGCTCCCCATACACTTTTTAATCATCTTTTTTGAAAACTTTTAATTCAACTGTTTTAATTACATGCCGTTTCCTTTAACTCAAATACCTGAGTGATTCAAAATCTCTATTCTAAGTAAAACCATATATTGTTTTGAATAGGACTTAGCCAGGTAGAAGTTACCAGCCTTATCATCAGACATTCACACATTTGAAACAAGTTGAGAACTTGTATGTGGCTTCAGTTATAGTGTCTAAAGAGCCTTTTGATTAAAATTATCGTGAACTTTGCTTCTGAATAATTATACTAGTAAGAAAGCTGCAGGCCAGCCTTCATGGCTTTTAATATACCTGGAGGAAGTGGGAAAATTCTTTCATACCTTCCTCATTCAAATCTTTTGGCTGGTTTTATTCTTTTTGAAAATTATCTGGAAATACATATAACATGCACGCTTCTATATGGGACAGAGTATTTCATTGTAAAGCACCATTTCTGTTCCTTATCAAATGGGAAGGCATGTAATGCAAACATTTGGGGAATTAAAAAAAAAAAAAAAAAACACATAGGAAAAAATGTCGGTTACAAAGAACTAGAACAGATTGTCTAAGAGTTGTAGAAAGGTCTAAGCAAAAGTCAAGAATGACACAAATTACATTCTTTTTTTTTCTTTTTTTGTTATTCAGAACTGTGGTGTGATTTGGAATAAGGAAGAAATGATACCTAATTATCTGTCCTAGTTTTGCTTATAAATTGAAATATCCCTTCTTAACAAAACCAGTCTTACAGCTATTGTTCCTGCATGTTAGTTAATGACTGCTAACCTTTTGGAGGGCAAAAGTACAATAAAATAGAAGGATGAATGAGCAAGATTTGATGGAATTGCAGAATGTTCTGGTTTCTTCAATATAGAATAATCACTAACATCTTGTTCACCTTCTGTAAAAAGTATTAACTGCTGCTTTCACATTACCATTGTATAAGGGGTGTTGTAAAACTCTGTGCTTGATTTCTTGGCTTATAACACTTGGTTCACTTACAGGTTTTCCGTTTTTTAATAGGTTGAATCTACACAAAGTATGATTAGGATTTTGGGCCTGTCAGCTACATTACCCAATTATCTTGATGTTGCTACATTTCTACATGTCAATCCCGTCATTGGACTATTCTACTTTGATGGCCGTTTCCGACCTGTACCGCTGGGACAAACCTTTATCGGAATTAAGACAACCAATAAGGTAAAGAATTATGACTGCCAAAGAAAGGGCTGCTGTTTGTTTTGATCATGTTTCATGTATGTATGTGTAGGGTGTACAGGTTTGTTATGCTACAGGTGTTCTGTGAAGTCTATTTTCTTCTGTATAAAGATACACATAATTGAAATGTGCTTTAAGAATCATATTTCCTCAGTTTACAATATTTGCAAATAGGCCTTGTTGCAGTTGGTTACAGTTAGCTTTGCATTGCCTCCACTTCGCTAATAAATTTTGCTTCATGAAGGAGAAATCATCACGCTCAACTGCAGAGTCACTGTAGCAGGTGATTATTCTGCCTTTCTCATTTCAGTTTTTCATTTTGCTAGAAACAGTGGTGCTTCTTGTTTGGCTGTAGGGATCCATGAGGAATGTTATAAGAATATTCATTTATGAAACCTGAAGATAGATAGACAGATAGATAGACAGATAGATAGATAGATAGATAGATAGATAGATAGATAGATAGATAGATAGATAGATAGATAGATAGATAGATAGATAGATAGATAGATAGATAGATAGATAGATAGATGGATAAACACAACACACATTAATACCAGTTGGACATAAATTATTGATGAAAACCTTAGCATGCTAATCCATTAACTATCATATGTGCACTTTTGATAGAAAACACGTTAAAGTAGTCCCTAAATAAGCTTCTTCACTCTTTGTGCTCCTGCTCATTTTGGGAAGCATTAAGGCCATGTTCAGTGTAATATTCCTATTAAGAATCGTAAGTGCAGTGCCACTTGACATGTAAGTTATAGTTCTTTAAATACAGGACACTTTTCCATAAAATTTCCCATGCGTCTCACTAGCTGATAATTAAAGTTTATATAGCTTAACTTTTAGAAGAGCGTATTCTGTTATGATTTGAATTAATAGAAATCGAAACATTTTCAATTAAAAGTTAATTTCATAGTTTAATAATAGCATTTTTTTTCTTTTTTGTAAAAATGGACATTGACTTTCTTACTAGGATATTTAAGTAGTTCGTTCCATCTGCAGTGCAGGAAAGAAACTTATTTCACAACTGTAGGGAGCCATTTCAAGTTTATACACACAAGAGTAGTTTACCATATGGTGCTTACCATGATTTGCATTTTTTAACCTTCATTAATTGTTTCAAGTACTTTCACTGTTATTTGCTGTTGCTTTTCTTTAATCTTTTCCTGATACTTGATTTGAATATTTAGTTTATTTCCACTGTATGGTAAGAAAAAAGGAAAGACTCCATTTCTTCATACTCAATTTAGAATGCATTTGTGATTTAAAAATCAAAGAAATATACAATTAATCCTGTAAAATTTTAAATCTTTACAAACCCAGTAAGTTTTCTAAGAAAACATGAAGAGATTAGGAAATATTAGGAGGTAGTAGTTATTCTGAAATGTGAATACCTGGCAGACTGTTTTGGTAATACCACAACCGGGAGTTTTTCTTTTTGCTGTTCAGAAGAATGTCATTACAGATTTCATTGAGTAAAATATATTTTGCAATCAATATACTTTATAGCAAACTAAAAGTATTAAGCCACTTTGAAAAAGGATTCTATTCAGAATAATACTAAAGCTACCAGATTATTGCTAATATCAACATCCTTCTGGTCTACATGAGAGCAGGAGAGCAATGTAAGAACCCACAGAATCAAAAGCAGTTCTGGCCGAACATCAGCAAGTGCAATCAATGCTATGTCTGTATCCACACTGATGAGTTGCAAGGACATAGAAGACTATTAGTAACTTTAGGTCGATGCTTTGCCAGAACTTCCTGACATCCTTCATCCCTGAAACCTTCCCAAAAAATTGGAACTGATTAGTGATTTGTGGAATCATGTGCAGACTGTAGGAAAGCTTTCAAAGGCAAGAACAGCTGTATTTATTGTGTACAAAAGTTAGCCAGGAAAGCTCTTAAAATGCTGAACATTGAAACTCTTAGAGCATATGGGACCAAGGCTGAAGTTTGACTTCTTCAGTTGGTGGTATGTTAATGTCAGTTATTTTTCTTTATGCATGTTCATGCTTTCCTCTTTAGGTATAAATGAAAAGAATACATAAAGTTATATTTGTATGTATGTGTGTGTATATATGTCCTCATGTGTATTTGTGCACTGCCCGTATATGTTTTTCCTTAATGATTTTCACTTGCTATTATTTGAAAAAATAATTAATTAAAACACTAACCTATCATTTTCAGAATAATTAGACTGGCTACTTGTGTCTTGCACATACGTCTGTATTATCTTATCTTCTTATTACTCTACTTGTATGATTCCAAATATGAGTTTTCTTCTTCCCTCTAAAGCTGTGATTTTCAACTTGCAGCTATTCTAGATAACTCCAAGTACTAAATTTCCATTTTTGATTTTTAAATGCTTTGCTCTTGTAAAACATTTCTTTGTGCCAAAAAAAAAATTGGTTATAGAACATGAGTGGCCAAATTAAGAATGGAGTGATTGCTCTGATTTTGAACTTAATCTATTTATTTTGACTTGTTACAACTGAAATACTGAGGTGCATTCAAGTAGATACATGTGATTTATATTGTGATGCATTAAAGAAATAGAAAAAAAGAAATCTTTATAACAGCTTGAAGAATACTTTTTATTTCAACTGAACTCTTTATTTTGGAACCTTCCTGGAACATTTTATTTATCCATAACTGGAAACTGTACATGGTACGCCCCACTGTTCCCATGCATGACCCAACTACAAAGAAATTTCTGTTCTCTACTGCAAAAAAGCCGCCAATCAGTAATTTCTTAGATACGTATATCTATATCTGCAATGTGAGAACTATTTTTATATTACCAAGTAGAAGGTCTTAATGTTGGGTAGGATAACGTATTAAATAGATATCTCATCCATATCCTGTAGAAGTAAGATTCCTTAATATGAAACAGATAAAAACTAGAACTGGTTTATGTCTGTTTGGTCATTAATAAAGTAAACAAAGTCATGTAATAAATTTTCTATCCACTGCCATTACTCATACTTTGTTTACTTATTTGCATGTTCTATTTGAGAATTTAAGAATACCAAAATGATATTGTGAGGAATGGGAACCAGGATATTGTAAATTTATCTGCATAATCACATTTTGCTTTCATGGATCACTGTAAATTGCTTGAAATGTAGTAGAAAATACATAAAGATAGAAATGCTTTTAGTATGAAGCATGATGTTTGTTTTTTCAGGTGCAGCAGCTGAATCATATGGATGAAGTATGTTATGAAAATGTGCTGAAGCAAATAATGGCTGGACACCAGGTATTTATTTTTCACTTTGGTTTGCATTCAGAACATACATTAGTTAGTTTTGATCATCTTAACTATGTATTAAGAAATGTTTTTATAATTATTATTTTGAGATATGTCGCTTTAGCAGTCATCTCTAATCTTGAAAACACTTCATAGAAGCAGCATGCAACAAAATCTGAACAGGCTAAATAATGTTAGCTTCTAGCTAAGGTGAAAATTCCTGTTACTTTATGTATTCATTAAAGTAATTAATGTGTATTTATGTAACTTTTTTAAATTACAAGACAAAGTCGGTCAGTGCTTCAGAGACCTTACATTTATGTACATTTAATGATTAAAAAAAGAAAAAATACAGCACTCTAGCTATTATTCTTAGCCTTTCCCATGTCTTTCAAATGTTAGTGTCTCCTGTTAGAGATGAGGGATGAGAATTATGCAGAGTGTTCAAAACATGGTTGCACAAGGGCTCAGCATCTGTCATCTGAAATATCCTGAGGTTTGTGTTTTGTTTTCTTTTTAAAGGCAGTAGTCCTTCATTTTGCTTTACAAGAGAGGCTTCTGCAGTGAATTTTCAAGTCTGTTATTCCTCTCCACTAAGACTGTGGGCTTAACTCATTTGCCTGAATAGTTTATCATTCTGTTATTGTTGTGCTCCTGAATCACCTACACACGGTGTCTCATTTTTGTTAGAACTTTACATATACAGCAGGTATGGCACCTGTTCGGAGCAGGAACAAATGCTAGTGCACTATGATCCTTGAAGAGGCTTTTCACTAAATAACTTGTCTATAAAAGAGGGAAACTCTTTCCCACACAGTCACACTAAGAATTGTATGTTTTCCCCTTTTCACATAAAATTCAGGTTGTGGTGTTTTTTAAAAGATGAACAGTTGGTTTATTACTTGGGTGGAAAAAATACTTCAGCAACAGCTTCTTAGTCCTCCTGCTCCCCCTGCTTTAACACCATTCTTCCACTTATCTTCTCCTGTTGTTATCAGTTACGGTTGTTACATTCAGAAAACTTCCATGAAGATTACATATAGAAATGCTGATATTTTCCTGAGGGAAGACTCTTAACAAAATTTGTTGGTAGCACCAAGGAAACTTTGTATTTTCTCCTCATTGTCAATTATGTACATACCTTACCAAATTCCTAACACTGAGGTACATTTAATTTCTTATCTTTCATTTCTTGTTATGATTTCATGTGTTTTCACTTGCTGTAAATAAACCTACAAGTAGCAGATTCTTTAAATCAGTGTATCTAAATCCTAATAAGTAACATATCTTGGATTCCTGGCAGGAAGTTGCGTGCTGTTCTGGCATATTTATTACACCTTTCTTTTCTTCACACTAAGGACAAAACTGTCTACAGTAAAAATGTCTACATGTAAAAATTCAAGTGCAATAAGTTGTTTAATTCTAGCAGGAGATGTTGTAGCTTTTCTTGCGAATAATTTTAGTTCCTGTACTAGCAGCTGACTGCGTGAGCGTTTTGTTTTAAGGCATGAGCTACACCTGAAAGGGGTCAAGTGAAGAACTGTAGTCTGTTTAATCTTACAGTTTCAGCAGTGGACACTATCGCTGATCTCAATTTCTGAAAATTGTATTTCAAGCCAACAACCAAATAAGGAGAGTATTTTCAGACAAAGCAGTGGTTTTCAGACAAAGCAGTGGCAGACAAAGTGTGGTTTCCCATGCTATATAAATGTTGATTTGATTTCAGAACACTTTGGTTGATTTGATTTGATTGTAAATGTTAAGCATTTTTCTTTGCTTGAAAATGGTTGTTCTGCTATGTTGCAGAACTCTCTTAAATGCACACCTAAATACAAACCAGTTACACTGGGCTTTTCTTCAGAGTATTTAAAACATATTGATCTTGATACTTATGAAACAAAAATTCATATTGTGAAACGAATGATATACAAACACTGGCACACAGTCTTTGTCAATGCAGAATCAAGCATATCAGCTCACTGTATAATGCAGTAATTATAGCATGTATTATTGTGCCACGTGTTAAGAATTAGGGACTTTTCCTTTTAATGAGTAGTCCATGACAAATAATCTGTCTAGTCATTAAACAAACAGGAGAGGTTAAAAGAGGTGCAAAAAACAAAAGGTCACATAGATATATCTGCATTGAAATGCCTGCGCCATAGTAGAAGATAAATATTATGATTGAATATGATGCATATTACTCTAGGAAGGTTTTCTTTAGTGTCTTTTCACAATTTTGAGAATAGCTTTTGATCTTCTAAAGTTATCACTTTCTTCTGATTTTCTTAGTTTTTAGAAATCCATGACCTTCTGTCCACATTCACCATAGCCTTTACCATCATGCTCTGTTACCTTTCTTAGCTTGTGTTAGCCTTGAAACTTGTGTTTATTTACATTCTATGTGTGCAAAGTTTGTTTGCTTTTTAATAAAGCTGTGGTTATTTATAAATATGCTTCTTAGAAAGATGTATTCACGTCTTCCCCCCCAATAATTTAGAAAAAATTTCCACAGCAGTTGTGTATCTGTATGGAATTCAGGACATGGTTGAAATTTTATAACTATTTGGGCAGTAATGTGTGACAGACACATATCTCATTAGCAGTGCTCCAGAGAGCCAAAAACATACCTGTTCTCTTTTATACTGGAGCACAAGAAAGAAATAACAGAATCAGAGAAAAATACCTTCTTTCTTCTAAAGTTCTGTGAGTTAATGTACATCCTCCTGTGGCCATCAAACTTGCACAGTGTTGTCTCTCTTAAGATTCTTTACCAGAATCTTTGTTGAATCTTAATAAATAAAATTCAACATTGTTTATCTACTGTTCTGCTAACTAATTTTCAAAGAATTTTATCGTGCCAGAAGCAAATATTTGACTCTTATGGTAGTCACGCTTATGTGTCCCTGTCATGTTATAGGTTACAGTGTGATGCTTGACTGAAGTTGTATGTTCATGTGTTTTAATAGATGTACGCGTGTTTTCGTTTTCTAAGACTAAGGCTGGTGGGAGGTAGTTGCATTCTACAGGCATGTGTTTTGACAGATGGAGAGAAGCTTTTTATGTTGATTTTTCAACAGTCATCCTCTGCAAGACTTCAAGCTCTTTCTGGCTACTGGGAAATTAAGAGTTGGTGATTCAGCCTTTAATTTTGATCCATCTGCTCAAACTAATGAGATATCTCATTTGTAGGCTTCACTTTGAATTACCAAATGCATCTGAAACTATAACGTTTGTTGTATAGCACAGTTATCCTCTTGTTTAACTTGAGGACAGATACAATGGTAGATGGCTCAGCCTACTGAGTTTTCTAGGGTTTTTGTTATAGAAACTTTTTATCGTGACTGAAGAAGATCAGAAAATGTCCCAAAGGTTTCCAGGTGCTTTTTAAGTCAGTGTGCTCTTTTTGTAGAATTACTAACAATGTAGATCTTCATTAGAACGTTTCTCTGTCAGATCCTACCTCTTAAGACTGCTTTAAGTGAGAACCTGTAGTGCTGTTAAGTCTGCTTTCCTGGGACTGTCCTTCTGTGCTCAATGTTAGCTGGGGAATATTTGTTTTCATGTCATACTTTGAATTTACTATGTTCTGATATTATCTGAAAAGATGTTAGATCCTCTTGGACTCGTTTGCACTTTTGGAGTTTTATTTCTACCAAAGATTCTTTAAACAAAGAAAGAAAAAAAAAAAAAAAAAACCAACCTGAAGTTACATGTCGTTTATCAGAGAATATGACTCCACGCTCAGTTGCAGGTAGAGTATTTTTGCCAGCATTTATCTTCAGGGATACTGTTCCCTTTAAGACTGAGTGAAGGCTCAGTCACTGAAAATTATCAGTCCCTCAAAGTGATTACATCTTTCTCTTGTCAGGCTGTCACCAGTAGTGGGCCACGTGCATTAACAACATGAATTCAGCTACAGAGCTGAAAAAGTTTCTTCATATTTTACAACCCTGTGAGAAGGGCATCCAGTGATGATGAGCTCTGGGGAGTAGGTAGCACCTTTCTGAGGCAGCCTGTAGAGAACCTGGTGAGATCAGCAAAGACAGAGTGACTGAAGACCATACTTATCAACATCATTTTTACAATAAATTGGAACATTGCTTTACTAGCCAGTTTAGGACAATGCATATCATACTGTCTTTATCTTCACAATGTATGAGGGGGAAAACACTCTTGTAATGTTATGCTTTGATAAATAACATAGTATTTTTAGGTGTTTTGAGAAATAGCATACTATTTTTAAGGTTGAGTTGTTTGTTTTTTTTTGCCTTTGAAACATATCATATGTAAATTTTAACTTTATGTTAAATTCCTTTATCTAAAAAAGATGGAGCTGTTGCTCTTTGCCAAAGTTCAGTAGCTTAAGTTAGTACCCTAGGGAATTAACTCTTTGACTCTGACCCTTACTGCTGTTGTATAGGTTCACATCCATTATATCTCCTGCTCTTGCTGACCTTTTGCTGTCTTATCCTACTACCTTGGTTACTGAAAGAAGATCATATCTTTCTCTCATTGTCCCCACAACCTCATAAATACTTTTACTGTTACGAATTTGTCAGAGCCTTACTGTTTCCTATCTTTATTCTCTTTTTCCTCTCCTCTCCTCTCCTCTCCTCTCCTCTCCTCTCCTCTCCTCTCCTCTCCTCTCCTCTCCTCTCCTCTCCTCTCCTCTCCTCTCCTCTCCTCTCCTCTCCTCTCCTCTCCTCTCCTCTCCTCTCCTCTCCTCTCCTCTCCTCTCCTCTCCTCTCCTCTCCTCTCCTCTCCTCTCCTCCTTTTTCTCTTCTCTCTTCTCTTTTCTCTTCAAGGTGGTCTGAACATTCTCTCTTGATCAAAAAAAAAGTAAAAACATGAAATTGCATTAGATTTCTTGGGATCCTGTTAATTTCTTGTGTTATGAATTAGAAGGGGAGTTGCTGAAGTTCTTTGAAAGCTTTCAGACAAGGGACTTCCTCAAACAGCACTCATAAATCTCTCTTGTTTTTGCCACTTTCCCCAGACTGCTCATC